AAAAAAAAAAAAAAAAAAAAAAAACGTTATATTGTATGATGAACTGAGAAACGTTATTATAATTGTTAGTAGTAGTAGTATCGATATTAATAAGAGTAATGCTTAAAATTTATGCTAAGTTCTATTGGGATCAACATGGTAGCAAATTTAATTCCATGTTTGTTTTGGTTCTCTCTGACTGCTAAGTTAAAAATCCTATGCATTGTTCACTTCAGACTGAATGGCAATGAAAAGTTATTATGCAAACAATACAATTTACTTTACCTGTTCAACATACAGTGATGTAATGGCATTGTTGGGTGCTGTTCTTCCCTGATAGCACACGTACATCACGGAGACGTCTATTTGATGTCTGCATTTACATCTGCAAGACGTATTGCTATAGGACATTTCCTATCAGATGTCAAATAGACGTTTAGAAAATGTCTTTAAGATGTTTAAGATTTAATGAATGTATGTAAAACTGACATCTTAAAGACATCTATCTGATGTTTGTACACAGCAGATGCTTTCCAAATGAAGCGATCTTTAACAGACATCTTGAAGACGTATGTGTGCTATCTGGTACCAACCAAATGGTGCCATTTATCAGTAGTCTTTATGTTATGACGACCAGTAAAAAACTGTGAATATTAATGAGTCAAACAGATTGTCAGTCTATCTCTTCCATACAAGACCCAATTTTATATTCTATATTTTAATTATTTTGAAATGACATCTAAACAAAATGTGTTACAACACTCCCTGGTCTTCCCTAATCTATGTGCTCCTTCTCACTCTCACTGCAGTGTAAGTTTAGCAGTGTCCATGGGCTTTTGCATTTTCATGCAAACCTTACCACAAACCTCATTCAAATTTCCCTACCATTGGTGGAGAGCTTTCTGAATATATGTGAACTCAGTATGAGCAGAGATACTAATACAAAATCTTTTTATCTTTTATCTTTAGAGTTATTGATATGTAGTTTTGACAACACCACTGTGTTTGGATATTGGATGAAAAGTTGGACATTGACCACATGTGTGCGAATAAACTATGTGTATGATTTTTTTGACATCTATAGAGTGAAACAAGCTGTTGGTAACATGGGGAATAACTCTGGAAAAGAACAACATGGATCTGCAGGTAACTAGCTTTTGACAGCAAACACACAGATATTCAGTGCTTTATATACCCCCCAAGGCGCAGGGACATACAAAGGGATTTTTCACAAGAGAAAAAATAACAGCAGAGACAGAGAGAGATATATAGACATAAAAAAATAAAGAAAGAAAAGAGTGCTGTGTGAAGAGTAGATTCCAGGTATGTGTATGTTGAATATTGAAAAAGAAAGAACTGCAGGAGAGTTATTAAACGTATTCGAGCGAGAGTCATTATTGGAATACTGTATTGTAAATTCTTCCGTTATTGGTGGTGTCCAGAGCCCTCAGACTCACTGACTCAGCAAACATTTCCCACCCATGGAGACAACAAAGGCTTCTTAATGGAGAACACCCCCACACTCACACACATTCAATCAAATCTGTTCCTGTTGGTTTAAAAAAACAAAAAAAAACAAATAGTGAAACCTGCCTTTTTTTAGAAAACTAAAAACTTTTCTCAAATGATTAGTTCACCCAAATTACCCATTTACTCACCCTCATGACATTCCAAATCTGTATGACTTACTTCTGTACATGGTGCAAGTGTCATATATTTAGTCCATATGACTTGTGCACTAAGTATTCTAAAGCTATACAATAGCTTTGTGTGAAGAACAGACAAATTTGTAAGTTGATATGTGGCAAAATTTGCCAATGGAATATGAAAAATAAATTGATTTTCTTTTTTTTTATTGCAACATAATAAGGGGATTTATATACAACATTGTTTGATGATGGGTTTTACAGAGCTTAAAGGGATAGTTCACCCAAAAATGAAAATTCTGTCATTAATTACCGATTTCCTTGGTACGTTTCTGGACGTTGATTGTGGTAGTACCCTTGCTGTCTATGGGAGGGTGAGAGAGCTGTCAGAATGCATCAAAAATATCTTAATTTGTGTTCCGAAGATGAACGGAGGTCTTACGGGTTTGGAACGACATGAGGGTGAGTAATTAATGACAGAATTTTCATTTTTAGGTGAACTAACCGTTTAAGGGAATAGCAAAAAACAAAGACAAGCATGGTAGAAATACTAAATGCAAAGAGGTTCCATAGTCTCTCAAAATAATCTGAAAATTGTACTTAAAATCTAGTTATTATGTCCTTCATACAGAATTCTTACTAAGTTGACTGATCTGAGAAGGAAAAGAAAAGAAATGTTCGTAAAAGATGCACTTAAAATAGGGGCAGAATGATAAAGGATATATTATATGTAATTTAATATATAAAGAAGAATTCATATTATTTATTTATTTCTATTATTATTATTATTATTTAAAAATGCATTTTAATTGGTAGTCATATAATTCTGTATCCAGACAGTGTCTTCTTGTCCCCTGAAATCATGAATATTAACCACATTCGGAACATCCCTTGAATAACGGAAATAAAGTTTCATTTCTGTGACACACTAATCTACGCACACAAGTTATCATGTCAGGAAATGTTTTATATAAAGGAACATCTATCAGTTCTGAGAGCTCCACCTCTGTCTCTCTGCAGGCACTGCTGCGGACACGTATGAAACACCTCCTGCCTCGCCGAATAGTCTTATTTCTACCTGCTCATCAACCACTCAGCTGGTGTCCATTTCCAACTATACAAGCACAGCCATCCCTGAAACGGCTCAAGACACTCTGAGTTCCACCAGTCAGAATGATGAGCAATTGTTGGACTGCAGGACAGGGCTTGCGATGGAGGCTGAGGATGGATTCAAGATGACAGAATCACCTAGGCAGGTGTCTCATCCTTCAGGTGTGTATGTGAATGGAAACACAGAAGTGGACGCAAAACTCCTACAGGAGTGTTTAAACACACTGCAGCTCAACAACAAAGAAGAATCCACATACATACTGAACGGTGAGTCAGGCAGTCATGCTGTGTCCACTCATTCATTAAAGGGGTCATATGATGTTGCTAAAAAGAACATTATTTTGTGTATTTGGTGTAATGAAATGTGTTTATGCGGTTTAAGGTTAAAAAAACACATTATTTTCCACATACGTACATTATTGTTTCTCCTCTACGCCCCCCCCTTTCTGAAACGTGTCGATTTTTACAAAGCTCATCGTTCTGAAAAAGCGAGATATGCTCTGATTGGCCAGCTATCCAGTGCGTTGTGATTGACCAAATACCTCAAGCATGTGACGGAAATATTACGCCCTTTACCATACTGTGATGCCGTGTCCCGGTGTGACAAAAAATTTAAAACCCATTATAAACGAGGCATTTGTTGCATCCAGTGGGGACATAATTACGGATTATAATGACTTATACTGTCTTTTTACGCGTTGCGTTGCATCGCGCCGCGTAAACACAAAACCCTGTCTGCATTTGTGATCGGAGAAATGACAAACAGCAAGCGTTACTCTACACTGCTCAAAACTCGCGTTTGAATTATGAAAACGTACTTACAGGTTGTGAGTCAGCATTATTTGTCAGAACACCGGAATTGTAGTCTACTCCACCAGGATCAGGAAACAGTCCTCCATAAAATGCGCTGCACACATCTGAATATTTGAGTTGAACTGTTCTGGAACAGTGTTGTAAATAAAACTTAACCACTGATTTCTAGTCGTGTCCTCTTTTGGAAGACCAAACAAAGTATTTTCGCTTTCGCAAAGAAACACACAGCGTCTTCACAACATGGCGGCAGCGGTGGCAGCAACTAGTGATGGGTCATTCTTGAACGATTCATTCATTTTGAACGAATCTTTAATGTGACTCAGGAAGAACAAATCGTCTCAGGGAGTGATTTGTTCAGTCATGCATGCGCAACATCCTATAGCTTCTATACTGGAATTAGTCAAGTAGTTTACCTGTTTCGAGTCTTCGGGTTTTTCGAGTCATTCGTTCATCACGTGACAGCCCCATAAGCTTAACCTATGCCGGGCGAGTATGTTTTATTAAAAAGGTGTATACTGAGTTTGATTCTCCAATGTCATTGTTTTAGGCCTAGTTTCACAATAATAACTATGCACCCGTTTGTAAGGAAGTTTGTTAATTAACTAATTTCCCTATCCAATGCTGTCACGTCACATGACAAAAAAACGAACGATTCGAAAGACTTGAGAGATGAACTAATCAATTCTCTTTGAGGTGAGCTAATCATAGACTGAAGACCACGGTAAACAATGAATTAATCTTTTCTGTTTCTTATAGCATTATAGTTTTGTATTGTTTGTAGTCTGATGAACGTTTGCATCAGTAGCAGACGAGTTAGGGAAGTAACACGTAACATTTTAATTATATTTTGCTAAAATGAACGAAATGACTCGAAAAAAGATTCGATATGACCCCTTTAATTAAAGCATGCACATATTTACACAAACTGCATACACTCTTAAACATGTTGAGGAAGTAATAACATTCTAAATGTATTACTGTATGTTCACTTGTGGGTCTCAACTAGTGTCGCTGGTCTGTTCTGATCATGAACAGCGAGGAGGAAAAAATGCTAAATGCAAATAATAAAATGCAGTTAACCAAATAAGCATGCATACTTATATTTGGCTCATTCATTTGCATTTTTGTTTATTTTCTTTGTTGGGTTGCCACTTATATGAAGAAAATCATCTTGAAAACCGCTAATACCTTTATAGATTTTTATTCACAAATGTAGATTGTTTATTAAACATTTGTATCACTTTTATCATATTGCTGTTGCTGTGGTTTTATAAAGGCAATAAACCATTTAAGGTCATGCATTGGAGTGGTTTTACCACTGTGGTAAACTTAATGTAACACACTTCCTTTAGTGGTTTATTGCTTTATCATGTGCTTAGCAAATACTTCTATCATTTATAATGTGATTAATAATGAGAATCACTTTTTTATGTTTTTCAGATCTGTTAAAATGTTTTCTGGTGGAGAGGGAAAAGATGAAGGAGGAATTGAGAAGCTTTAAAGAAAAGATTCAGGTGAATCACACTTGCTTCTTTTTGTAGCATACTCTCAGCTGCTCCAAACCCTGACACTCAGTTTGTGCTTGACACTTTGGTTTCTATAATTTGCTCTTTTGAAGACAGAGGAAAATGCAACAGGAAGTCACATTGTTCCCAGAGGTGCAGGTCAAGGATTGTCTGATAACAGCCTGTCAGCTTCAGCAAAGGCTTATGGGACATGCAATCCTACAAATGACTACTTTCCTGACCTAGCTGAGGAATGGACATTGTTTTTGTGAGCGTGTGTGTTTATGTTATGGTTCTGCTAACATGGGCCTAAACTGGTAGTCTCAAGAAATCTATTTTTGACAGGAATGAGGAGAGGAAGAGAGGGAGGGGGCAGAAAAGAGAAAAACTGATAAAGAGAGGGACAGTAAAGAAAATCATTATCCCTTGCATAGATTTCTGAATAGATAGATTTAGTATGAAAGAAAGAGAAAGATTCAAATTAGTTATAGAAACATTTAAACAGGAGGACAGTCCTCTGGTCTAAAAGTAGCTGTACAGGGTGTAAGGCTTGCAGAAGTAGGAGTGTTTGAGATGCAGATGGAAACAGGGAGTGAACGGGAGATAACTGAGGGGGATGTGGGGAATTCTGTTCAGCTCTTGCAAGAACAAAACTTTTTTGTTTGGCCACTATGACAGCAGAAGTCCGCATGTAACGACTCACTGACCAAACAACAGAGTGAGTATGTGTTCTTACCCAGCCTTCTGTATGTGGACATAACTTTACCATTCAACTCAGCCACTAATCACACTTACATGAACTTAGCTGAACCAAATTAATAATAGGACGAGTCAAGTCACCTTTATTTTATAGCGCTTTTTCCGAGATTATTTCAAAGCAGCTTTACAGTATTACACAGGAATTTAACAGAATCAATTATGCAAACTTCAAAAATGAGACAAATCCAAATTGTGGCAAGACAATAATATAATTATTCAGCTCGAGTCAGTTCAGTGTTGGTTCAGTTCACTTCAATAACTGTCTAAAGTTCATTCATGAAATGAAACAAGACAATAGTGTAATTATTCAGCACAATTTAGTTTAAGTTTTGTTCTCGTCCAGTAGTGTCAGTGCAGTTAAATAATATTGCTGAATATTAAGTGCCTTTTAGACCCCAAGTAAGCAAGACAAAGGTCACAGTGGCAAGGAACCCAAACTCCTTCAGGTGACAGAAATGGAGAAAAAACCTTGGGAGAAACCAGGCTCAGTCAGAGGACCAGTTCTGATCTTTTTAATGTCACCAAATCAAAATCCACAACTCTTATTTTTTATGGAATGTTGCCATGTTTATTATAAATTATTTATCTGTGCATATCATGTGCCCTCATAATCTTTAAAGAAAAATTAACTTGTGTGTGTCTGATGGGTGGTGGTGGGTCCCTTCATCTGCAGTTTTTGTTTCAATCTTACACGCACACATTATAACCGTAAGAAGCTGGTGGATCAGTTCCAGATGGACTGCGCTGAATGCAGGAGTCACACGCTGACTTTGGGTTCACTGGAAAAAGCTTTAACCAATGTATTAGGCCATTGTGTCAGACGCACTTGTCTGTGGGCGCTTTTCTGTGTGTGTAGTAGAGTGTAGCGATAATGTAGTGTGTATGTGTGCGAGGGCTTGTCAAGTAGGGTGAGAGAGTTACACTCTATCCAGGCCCACACACAATGTACGAAGGCCCCCCAAAAAAGAGCAACAACTTCTTATCATCATGGGTGTGGTACTTCCTTAGAAATCCTTTGAGTCATTGAGCTGATGTCTAAAACATCACCACTGTCCAGAGAGAGAGAGAGAGGTAGGGTCATTTTCTGTCCTGTCTGGATGACTGGAAAGCTGTGAGTGTGAGCAAGAGAAAGACAGAATTTAATGACTTTAACAAGGTTGGATGATTGCCAACATGTGTTAATGCTGTTTCACTCAGTTCTTATTCATCAATAAAATGAAGTGTCCTTTCAGGGCAAATGCTTCAGGAATTAAACAGGCTAATAGGAAAAGCTTCTTTTTTTTGCATCATAAGGGAAAATGATTGGAAATCCCTCCTGTGACAGACCGTTCTTATTATGAAGTCATTGAGGATGTGTTTTCTTAACTAATATTCATTAGTCTTTTCATTTCCTATAAGGGCTGGAATACACTACACAACTTTTGCCCTGATGCTAGTTGCAGAGAACAAATTCAGAGACAGTTTGAGACACACTCTTTTTTAGCTTCTGACTGATTCCGTCCAGTCTGAGGATATCAAATATGTTTGATATTTTGAGCTGATTTTAGAAAACATTGTTTTCATTTGCCATGCGTCTCCTTGCAACAAGCTGCATGTTTGTGCCTGAGTTTGTTGTTCTGAACAACTTGAATGTCTGATTCTCATTTGTTTAGTGTATATGTCCATTTTTTTATTTTTTTTTTGTGTAGCCATTTACAAAATCAGCAGATGTATGATGCCTAGTGTTTTGAAATCTGTTCAGATATGATAAGACATGTAGTGTATTCTTCAGTGAATTTCAGAAGCAAGAAATATAATATTGGATTGAAATTTAAATTGTAACATCAATAAGTTATATTAAATATTTTAAAAATAGTAGTTGTAGTGCATAAAATACTATTTACAAAATTATACAAAGCTATGCTGCTACACTAAATGTGCAGTCAACAATTTTACATTGTGCTTTGCCAAATATTTTATAAGGGTTTAAAATTTAAAACACATTTTTTAAACACATTACACATTTTAGAGAGCACAAAAATACCTAAATACCTCCCAATGTCTGTGTTCCTATATCAGATAGACTCTTATGTGTGTCAGAGAAAGTGTAATGTTGTGTATTCTTGCAATAATCAACTTCAGCTGGGGTCTGGAGGCTACAGAGTGATGAAGAGGGTCCTGAGACTTTCCCTGCTCTCTCTCTCTCCTCCTACTCTATTTCCATCCTCCTTCAGTGTTATTTGTTTAGACACAGCTAGGGACTACAACCTTTTTCAGGCTAAGGTAGAAACGTCTGGCCTACAGTAACATGCGTATAGTATCAATGTATTTTCATACTTTAATGCTTACATTGTAAAACTATTAAAAATAATCATTATAGAATGTAATTGTATAACTTTGGTTGAAGTTAACATACCAGTATTTTTATTTAATGTATAATTTCTTTTATTTTTTTCCCCCACAAAATAATAGCTCAATAATTGGCAGTCTTCCAACTGGTCTTATGTCTCTTTCTCAACATTTGTACATATAGTAATTAGTAGTTCTCCACCCTTTTCATCTAATTCTAATTTCTTTTATTTTTTTTTTAGAATTTCTTTTGAATTTCCCCCCACTTTGGCATCTTTTGTCCTAAATGACTTTGCCTGCTTATTGTACTCATATTTTTCTGTCTGTTTTTTTGTTTTGTTTTGTTTTTTTGGTTATTGTGAAGATTTGCACAATAATGACTCACTTTGATAAGTCAGTTGTTTGTCTTTATTTGAGTCATTTTCTCTCTTTGGCAGAATCAACAGAGTTTCAGTCAGTTCTAATGAAAGAGAGAGGCATGAAATGAAATAGATGATGAAAGAGAGAGAAAGAAAGATCGGTCATGGTGTTTTTAGATTGTGATTATGAAACTAAGTTGTGTGTGTTTTACATATGTGCTATCATTCTAGGGAATCACTCTTGTATTTCTTGACGTCTAACTATTGAGAAATCACTTTATCGCCAGGACATGCTCAAGGCTGCAAGCGGAGGAAGATTCCTAAGTGTGTGTGTGTGTGTATAAATATGAAATGGCCCTGGACCACTGCAAGTAAATAGTACAGGATACTTTTCATGTCTTTGAAAGAGGACTCGTTACTGATCTTGCTGAGACGTGCAGAACAAGCTCAGATTTCTAAGAGTGGAGTTTAATGTAAGCATATTGTGTGTAAGTGTGTGTTTAGCAAACAGTGAGAGGTGGACAGCAGCACAGTATGATCACCATAGCGGTGAGATTCACAACAAACCTTTTCACCTCATTGACTCACAGCTGAGTTACAACACTATCCAAGAGGAAAACATTCATATCCTCAGTCAACTGCTCTGCTCTCAAAGACCAGAAAGCCACTTCCTCCTAGTAATACTGTGTATTTTGTAATAGAGTAAAGATACCTCGAGGAACAGGTTTTTTGGCATGTGTGAACAGCAATGTTCCTATCAAATATGATATCAATTTTTTAATATATTGTATGTTTTTATTTCATTATAAAACATTTTATAAAGCAATATTTTAATTATTTATAACAATTTATTTTAACCATTGAATTATATATATAATATTTAAAATTATGACATACCGATTAATATAACTCTATTATTGTTATCTCTTTCTGTAGGCAGAACGTGAGGAGTGGCAGCAATTCCAGTCTGACCTGAAGGTGGCGCTAGTGGTGTCAGACAGACTGAGGGCAGAAGCTGAGGAAGAGCAAAATACTTTAAGAGCAGCCAGGCAGGACATGGACACACAGCTAGCCAATGCCTTGCAGGGTCGCCAGGAGTTCGAAAGTCAATTGGAGAGCCTCAGAGTTGAGTTGGAGCAAAGCAAGCAGAAACTGAAGCAGGTCACAGACAGCCACCAGGGGGCGCCGGTGATGAGGGGCCTAGAGAAACAAGATCAGCTGTGGACAGATGAGATGAAGGGAAAAAGAGAAATGCACATCTCTGGTACTACAGAGAGGTTAAGGTAAAGTTATCCAGTTATGTCAAAAGGTAAAGTTATCCAGTTATGTCAAAAATTGCCAAAAATGAATCTTATACTTACAAAGGCTCAAGTTTTGAGATTGAATAAATGTACAATATAAATATTTAATATAAAGTATACTGGTAATACTTTACAATAACTAGTTGACTTGGTTGACTTTAGTTAATGCATTAACTAACAATGTGCAAAATATTTGTTACAGTATTTATTTACTGATCTTTGTTAACGTTAGTCAATACAAATGCATCTCATCATTGTCAGTTCATATCAGATAAGGTCCATTAAATAATATTAACAGATACATCTTTTGATTTTAAGAATTTATTAGTGAATGTTAAAAGTAACATGAAGGTTAATGTGTTCATTGTTAATTCATGTTTGCATGTGTAGTTAACTAATGTTAACAAAGTACAGTAACCTTATTGTAAAGTGTTAACAATATACTTTACAATATTATGATTAACAGTACAAATGTCTATATCTTTTAGCTGCCTCTCCTCTATATTTTAAATTAGTGCTTGGATGGTGTTTCGGTTAAAAAACTGGAATGAATCTGTTGAGTGAATTATTGAATGAATCACTCAGTACTCAAACAGATTCTTACTCATTGCTACCTACTGATGTAATTGTGGAACAGTCACAGAATAAATCAGTTTTTTGGAGATCTAAATCAAAAGATTCAAATCAATAATGTGAATCAAAATCCTCTACTAGCTCTTAAGGCTTATCTGGGACATGTATAGTTTGGAAATCAAGGTAACGGACCTGTCTCGTCTGAACTTGTTAGAGTCAAGTCAATTCGTCTGAATGGAATAGATTCCCACCTTTGGAATCTGAAGTATTCTCAATTCCCAACGGAATCAAAGAATGGATTCCGATTCAGTCTGATTCATGTTTGTGTTCATTCAGTGAGTTCCATCAAAAAATCATTGTGAATCACATTTGTTGCATGCCTCACATATATGATTTGTCCCATATAGAACATTGTTTAGTGATTCTAAATGATTCATTGTTTACAGCCCACAGTCTGTCAAAGAGACAGTGTGACCTATGTTACATTCATGGAGCATTCCATCATTTTGCAGGAGCCTGTGTCGACTGCCCTCAGATTACCCTGATGTTGTTGTAAATGGGACTTCCCTACCCTCAGTTACTATGACAACAGAATCTGTGAGTAAAAAAGGTCAAATTTTCCTTTTTTGCTATTTTCAGTCTTTAGTTTTTGAATTTTTATCATTATGTATCTGAAATATTTAACAGTAAATATCAGTAAACAGTGTCTAATAATTTCAGACTTCTCAGAGCAAGGCTCAAACAGCAAGTTTAGACCAACAGAGCAACAAGACCATCTCCAGTAGAGGTGAGTAAACAGGAGTTTCATTTGCACAATATCCCGTTGACTAGATTTCATTGAATATTTGTTCCTTTGCTAGCATACCAGACTCATACGGGCACAAATGATTTATTCTGTGTGCGTGTCTATGCATGTCCAACAGATAAGAAAGTGGAGAAATCAGTCCTACAGACATGCAACTCTTCAGTTTTAGATGTGACAAATAAGATCAACAGGACAAGGTGAATCAAACATTGTTACCTCTTTTTCCACTGTTCGTTCATGAGAAATATTATAATGATTGTCAAAGAATGGAGAACTGACATCCATCTCCTTTCCCATCAGGACACAGGAGGATTTCCCATCAGGACTCAGGTCGCTGAGGCTTCATGGCAGCTCCAGGTGGAACTCCCTGCTTTGCTGGTGTCAAGGCAGAACTCAGGGATACAAGGTACTGAATTCAACCAAACTAAACTAAACAGCTGACAGATCAAACTTGGCAGCCAGCCACACACCCCCTAGTCTCAGCCTCAAACAGCATGGACCACCTACAATCCTTTCACTGACTGTTTGATGCACATTGTACACACAACTGAAAAGCACTTTTTCTGGAAAGCTCTAGTCTGACACAGGAGTTTTTTTACCAGTCTGCAAAAGGAAGCCTGGAAATTGTGTTTATAAGTTACTGGGTTGAAGCAACAAATACTGAATTTCCCAAAGTTCACTTTTTTTTTTTGAGGCACTTAATAGCAAGTCAACTAGATGTACAAGTTTGGAGTCAGTACAATTTTTGTAAAGAAATGTATCATTTATGTAGCAAAATTAGTATATTTATTTTTAGAATTTTTGTATTTATTCAGCAAAGATGCATTAAATCAATCGTGGCCTAATGGTTAGAGAGTCAGACTTGTAACCTGAAGGTTGTGGGTTCGAGTCTCATGTCCAGCAGGAACCACATGTCACTTCACTTTCATCAGCGGTTCTTAATCCTGGTCCTCGCGACCCCCCCAGCTCTGCATATTTTGCATGTCTCTCTTGTTTAACACACTTGATTTAAATCACCAGCTTGTTAGAAGAGAGCTCTGACATGGTTCCTACACAGTGTTCACTGCTCTCTACTCCCTGCACATGGGAAATCAGCTGAAGTTTACTTCACTTTAGAACACGGATTTACGCTACACCGCTGCACCGCTACACCGCTGCCTGCTCCTGAAGTGGACATCACAGGGCACTTAAGGTCGAATGGAACAAACCTCTGAAGCGATAAGAGAAACATACAAAATGTGCAGAGCGGGGGGTCGCGAGGACCAGGATTAAGAACCGCTGCATTAAATGAATGAAAAGTCACAGTAAAGACATTTATAATGTTAAAAAAATTATATTTTAAATAAATGCCATTCTTTTGAACTTTCTATTGATCAAAGAATCCTGGGGGGAAAAATGTATCATGATTTCCACACAAATATTAAGCAGCACGATTTCTGAAGGATGACATGACACTGAAGACTGGAGTAATGGCTGCTGAAAATTCAGCTTTGCCATCACAGGAATAAATTACATTTGAAAATGAATTAAAATAGAAAACAGTTAAATAGTAAAATAAATAGTAAAAATTAAATAGTAAAATGTTTCACAATATTACTGTTTTACTGTATTTTTGATCAAATACATGCAGCCTCGGTGAACATAAAAGACTTCTTTCAAAAACATTTTAAACTGGTGCATATGTATATTCTGTTGTGCTTTTAAATTATATCTGTGAAATAATAGGGACTTTTTTTGCTTCTGCATTTATTATATTTGATTCGGCTGATTATTTTTGTCTGTACAACCATTCATGAAGACTGCCACACCATTATTTAAATCACCTTTTTCTATGCAGGTATATTACTGTGGTACAAACTATTTGAGATACAACCAAACAGCAGAAGAAAATGTATGTCAATCCCCCAGTCTCTTCCTGTCTAAGTGGGTGGTTCTTGGCCAGAAAAAAATGATACAATAAAATTGGACTATGTAGAATAGATATATGTAGAATATCTGCCTGTCTCTATTTTCTCTTATTTACATTAAATGTTAAGAATACTGCTTTTATGTGTTTTTCTAATAGAAAGTAGATGTAAATGAAGTTAGTTTTTTAGGAGTAGTTTTGGATTCACAATTTGAATTTGACAAACATATAAAAAGACTTTCAAAAAGAGTTAAGATTAACTTAAATTGTTTTAAACTTATTAGGCATTACATTACGACTGAGGCAGCTCATCTGTTCCTTCCTGCATACAATGATTTTGTATCTCATATTGTATTACAGTGTGGTCTCAAACTACTGACTCTTTAATTAGAATAATTGAGATGCTGTATAATCAGGCTTTAAAAATAGTGGATAAAAAGCCAAATCAATGGCATCACTGTCATATTTTAAAGAAATGGCATATGCTTAGTTTTATGAATTTAAAAAATTTATCATACGTGAAATTGATTTTTAAATGCTTGCGTAATAAGGCACCTTCTGTTATATGATAAAGAGACACGATGATATAGGCCGAACCACTAGGAGCACAGAGGTTGGAAATTGTAGGATTGGGTTTTGTAGAACATCACAAGGGCGAAGAGCATTTTCTGTAAAGGGATCCCAACTTTGGAATATGTTGCCAAATGAGTTTAAAGTGATACATGATATAAAGTCTTTTACATTGACGGTTAAGCGTTGGCTCAAAATAAACCAGACCTGTACGCATATTTATATTTTAATATGCTTCCTTACTAGTTATTTATTAGGACTGGAAGAGTCTATAAAACTTGGGCATGTGGTTGTTCTGTATTCTGTTTGTAATGTATGAGGATATTGTATGAAGGATTTGTTACATTCGTTTTTTGTTTGTTTGTTTGTTTGTTTTGGTAGGCTACAGATAGTTATTTTATTATAATTATTTTGGTTATTTATATATGTATTAATTTTTTAGAAAAGCCTTTCTAGGGACATAAGATGCAAATTAGCGTCAGCTATAATCTCTATGTGCAGTGCATGTTTTTCCAGTCTTTGACTGGAATTATGTTTATTGTATTGTCCCTATTCAAATAAACGTATAAATACATAACTAAATTTTGATGCCTCCTGTCTTTCTCTCAGAATATTGAGATCACTAATTTCAGCAGTTGCTGGGTGGATGGTTTGGCCTTTTGTGCGATTTACCACAGTTACCTCCCCTCTCACATACCATATGACAAACTCAGTCCAGAGAATAAGGTAATACACACTTCATACACATGGCTTGCATACAAACATATTAACATTAGGGTTGTTATGATGATGTTGATGATGATCTTATCCACAGAAAGAGAATCTCACTCTAGCATTCCAAACTGGAGAAGGTTTTGGAATCTCTGCATCACTGGTGAGTGAACTTGAATTTTTTTTCTAAACAGTTGTATTCAATTTCATAACTCAATCATTTGATTACTACACCCTGATTCCACCACCAAACAAATCAACCAATGCACTATTAATTAGTTCCAGCTTGAAAAAACAAAGAAAAGAATATGTCAGCTATCGGATCAGATGAGAATGAGAAACTTGACAGGCCAGATGTGAAAATGACTCAATCATGATTGAATAGATATGTGAATAACTTATATGATTGATATATGATATGTATTGGCTCCGAAATGATTGGCTGAACATGAGAATTACTCAAACATGACTGAATGGATATGTAAATGCCTCAGACATGATTGACTGAACATGATAACAATCGTGAACATGATGACACAATTGTGAATCAAAAAATAACTCAAACACAATTCATGGAAATGTTGCAAATATGAATATTAGTATGATTTTGTGTGGTTGTTAATTTCTGACTAATGTTTCTTTGTGGTTCCTCAGACGGTGGAGGAGATGCTAATAGATGAAGCACCAGACTGGCACAGAGTTCTGGAATACGTAGAGAGCATCTGTCGCCATTTTGAGATGCAAGACCGTGAATATACACGTCCTGATCATTTATAGTGATCACGAACGCTTTCAAAATTCCACCACAGCATCAGTATGTGCTCTGAGGGGAGTACACAACTTCAAGTAACCTTAAAGTGGGCCTGAAAGTTCATCTTTAGCTGTTGATCTGTTTTTAATAACTAAGAGGTTTGTATTAGAGACTAGATAAGGTTTTGCTGGTTAGCATGGCCTGCTAACACTTCCACTTATTCTAGGGTGACCATACATGCCATTTTCCTAGGACGCGTCCTGGCCAGGATTTCTATATTGCCTAAAATATCTAGGTTTTGGCTTTGTTTGCGTGTGCAGACCGATCGGTGTATGACATCAAAATACCATACAGACAGTTTCTTATGCTTTCAAAATGCTCTCGAGGTATTTTGATGTCATACACCGATCAGTCTGCACACGCAAACAAAGCCAAAACCTAGATATTTTAGGCAATATAGAAATCCTGGCCAGGACGCGTCCTGGGAAAATGGCACGTATGGTCACCCTAACTTATTCTGACTTCTCACAAACAACAAATTATTTGCTTTTTTCATTATATTATACTGAAGAGCTGTCAAGTGGACTTAAGGGCTTGTGACTGTGTGCTTTCTTGTTGTGCCATTAACCAATCAGCATTGAGCCCAAAAACTAAGCAAACAGGTTGCTTACTTGTGGGGGTCCTGCACCAGCCCTGCATTCATCCCACTGAAATGAACTGGAATGCTATTGAATAGCTTGTCCTAGTATTATAGATCTCCTGAGAAAGGCTGGAGTATCAGTGTAAAGTAGGGTTTTGAGTTGGATGAGGAGTGTCCATCAAAATTACTGTTTTGTTTGTTATTGCATAGCTTGTCCTAGTATTATAGATCTCCTGAGCAGCTCCTGAGAAAGGCTGGAGTGTCTGTGTAAAGTAGGGTTGTGAGTTGGATGAAGAGTGTCCATCAAAATTACTGTTTTGTTAACCTTTCTGCCCTCTGTTGGTTTTCATGTGGTATTGCAGGTTTCAATTTGTCTGTTTGCCATTTTGATGTTGATTAATTGATGATTGATGTTAAAGGGGTCATATGATGCTTTTTTAAAGATCATTATTTTGTGTATTTGGTGTAACAGAATATGTTGACATGCTTTAATGTTCAAAAAACACATTATTTTTCAAATACTGTACATTATTGTAGGTCCTCTATGTGCAACTTCAGGGATCTTATCTATGCACAATCAACTTGTAACACTCCAAAGAGAAAGGAAAACTTGAAATCGCATCATATGACCCCTTTAAAGCCTGGTTAAGGAACTGAGCTGATTATTTCATTTTGTTTTCTTTGAGCCCCAAAACCATCACTGATGATGAATTGACACAAAAGTACTATTCGTGTGATGTAGATATTAACGGAAAATAAGATTCCAAAGGCATGAATTGATAAATAAATATTTTGATTATATTATGTCTGTTTTTCTTGCACAATTCCCATTATAACCAGTAAAACTATTACAAATTCTGTGATGGTTTCTATTGTTTTTTTGTTGTTGTTGTTTTTTTCAGCAGGGTTGGTAAGACTGTTCGCGTGAGAATGTGTGTGAAAAATGTGAGACTAATAGGAAAATATGTAAAGCGTTGATGAAAGGGACATTTAGGCATCATAGTTTCAACAGCCTCAAATGTCAGTGGCTGCGTAAAATTGTTCCGGCACACACACACATTATTGCTTCCAGTATTTTAACCATTCTCTCTGTCACTGTTAGAAATGTATTCCTATTTATTTTTAATATTATTCCATTATTATATAATTTCAGTTTTAGTTATGACGTAGTCTTTGATATATGGGAGTGACGCTTCTTGTTTTGAAATAAACGAATAAAGACCAGCCGACTGACATGATTATTTTATTCGACCACTTAACTTCCACAGGACAGACACGTAAGAATGAAAGTTGTGAACGTTATGGGCATAAGGGAAATTATTTCTCCAGTAAAGAAGTAAATTTTCTATAATAAAAGTGTCTGTGAGAATGCTTGATTAATCTAGGTCGTACTTTATGTTGGTGCTGTACATAAATATATATTACTTAAATGTCTTCTTTAAATATTACTTACAAGTTTTTTTTGGTGGGGGGGGGTGTCTTTCTTTTCCTTCCTTATTTATATTGGCTTACATTGGTCTTCAAAGAGTTTATTTCAATTAACATATAATATATTCTTAGGAGGGCATTTACAGTTTTAATTTACTGGACACTGATCTTCTGCTGGTCGCTATTAAAAAAATCTGCATTAGTGAATACTCTTGTAATAAATAAATAATAAAAATGAATAAATAAATTAGTACCGTATTTTACCAAACTATGAGAGACTTTTTCTTTGAAAGTGAATTACCCTCTCAAACGTACATTAGCAGCTTCACACACTTCCACGTGTCCCTGAAACCAGGAAGTGAGAATGAATAAACCGAAGAGACTCCGCAAACGGCACTCCTGTCATTGTACCGCCTGCTGTCACCCTCGGGTTCCCCAATAACCCTCATTGATCCCCATTCATCAGCACGGTGAGTGTGAATACATCTGAATGTGAGCTGTTGTATTATGTTGCATAGTTTGTTTTGTTCTGACAGCTAAGAGATCTTACTTGATTCCTTCAGTCAGGTGACTTTCAAAGTTTTACTGTGTTGTATATCAGTATAGTCTCACAGTGTAGTGAATTGAAGTAATCTCTTGAATGTTTTGGGGATCTTGGTGAGTTTTTAATGCTATGATGTGACATGCATTAATAAATGAAAGAGCTCCATTCATAGTGAAACAGGATTGTGCAGGTGGAGGTAAAGCCACGTAGTTCACGTACAGGTTGAATAGAACACACCCACATATCTGTTAACAATGAACCAGTAATTACAATAATTCACCTTTGTGTGTCTTTCTTTTCATCTGTGCTGAAGGCTCTCAACATGCCTCAGAAGATCTTGGTGACAGGAGGAGCTGGATACATTGGCAGCCACTGTGTTGTGGAGCTCATAGAGGCTGGTTATCACCCTGTGGTCATCGATAACTTCAGTAATGCTGTCAGAGGTAAACAGACTTCAATAATTCACACATAGTGAAGAAGACCCTTCTCATTAAATCTCACTGCATTGCAAAGAGCCTCAGATATATCCTGCACACAGTGAGCCCTTGTGTGGACTACATGTAATATTATTTGCTGGGTGAAGCAATACACAGTCTCAGTAACTAAACTTTTTTTTTAAATATGAAATGTAAAATTGTATTAATAACATAAATTTAATTGTATATTTAATTTTATTTTAAAAAATGTAATTTATTAAAAAAAACAATACGTTTTGCTTAAAGGGGTCATATGATTGAGTGTTACAAGCTCTTGGTGCATAAAGAAGATCTGTAAAGTTGCAAAGACTAAAGTCTCAAATCCAAAGAGATATATATTCTTTATAAAAGTTAAGAGTCAGCCACACCTACCTAAAACAGCTCGTTCTAACACGCCCCACATGTCTACGTCACGATGTGGGAAGATTTGCATAACGCCGCCCAAATGTTCACGCAAAGAAAGAAGGCATAACTTTTATTCTCGCTGTAGTATTTTGCTGCCACCTCCATGTCGTGAAGGTGCTGTGTGTTTCGTTGTGAAAGCGAAACTACTTTGTTTGGCCTTCCAAAAGTGGAAGATATCCGCTTCGTCATGGGGGGGGGGTGTCTTTCTTTTCCTTCCTTATTTATATTGGCTTACATTGGTCTTCAAAGAGTTTATTTCAATTAACATATAATATATTCTTAGGAGGGCATTTACAGTTTTAATTTACTGGACACTGATCTTCTGCTGGTCGCTATTAAAAAAATCTGCATTAGTGAATACTCTTGTAATAAATAAATAATAAAAATGAATAAATAAATTAGTACCGTATTTTACCAAACTATGAGAGACTTTTTCTTTGAAAGTGAATTACCCTCTCAAACGTACATTAGCAGCTTCACACACTTCCACGTGTCCCTGAAACCAGGAAGTGAGAATGAATAAACCGAAGAGACTCCGCAAACGGCACTCCTGTCATTGTACCGCCTGCTGTCACCCTCGGGTTCCCCAATAACCCTCATTGATCCCCATTCATCAGCACGGTGAGTGTGAATACATCTGAATGTGAGCTGTTGTATTATGTTGCATAGTTTGTTTTGTTCTGACAGCTAAGAGATCTTACTTGATTCCTTCAGTCAGGTGACTTTCAAAGTTTTACTGTGTTGTATATCAGTATAGTCTCACAGTGTAGTGAATTGAAGTAATCTCTTGAATGTTTTGGGGATCTTGGTGAGTTTTTAATGCTATGATGTGACATGCATTAATAAATGAAAGAGCTCCATTCATAGTGAAACAGGATTGTGCAGGTGGAGGTAAAGCCACGTAGTTCACGTACAGGTTGAATAGAACACACCCACATATCTGTTAACAATGAACCAGTAATTACAATAATTCACCTTTGTGTGTCTTTCTTTTCATCTGTGCTGAAGGCTCTCAACATGCCTCAGAAGATCTTGGTGACAGGAGGAGCTGGATACATTGGCAGCCACTGTGTTGTGGAGCTCATAGAGGCTGGTTATCACCCTGTGGTCATCGATAACTTCAGTAATGCTGTCAGAGGTAAACAGACTTCAATAATTCACACATAGTGAAGAAGACCCTTCTCATTAAATCTCACTGCATTGCAAAGAGCCTCAGATATATCCTGCACACAGTGAGCCCTTGTGTGGACTACATGTAATATTATTTGCTGGGTGAAGCAATACACAGTCTCAGTAACTAAACTTTTTTTTTAAATATGAAATGTAAAATTGTATTAATAACATAAATTTAATTGTATATTTAATTTTATTTTAAAAAATGTAATTTATTAAAAAAAACAATACGTTTTGCTTAAAGGGGTCATATGATTGAGTGTTACAAGCTCTTGGTGCATAAAGAAGATCTGTAAAGTTGCAAAGACTAAAGTCTCAAATCCAAAGAGATATATATTCTTTATAAAAGTTAAGAGTCAGCCACACCTACCTAAAACAGCTCGTTCTAACACGCCCCACATGTCTACGTCACGATGTGGGAAGATTTGCATAACGCCGCCCAAATGTTCACGCAAAGAAAGAAGGCATAACTTTTATTCTCGCTGTAGTATTTTGCTGCCACCTCCATGTCGTGAAGGTGCTGTGTGTTTCGTTGTGAAAGCGAAACTACTTTCACTCAAACCCGCCGG